ATAATTTCTGTCTATTACTACTTTCACAGTGGCCCGTCACTGGATCAAACTTTGAGCCAGACTAAACCAATCCGCACCTTCACACTGTATTCATTTAGAATCAGGTTCTACGAGGTATATCAATTTCCCGTTTACCTTTGGTCATCGAAGTGATCTCTAAACTTCAGGTTTTCTGACTAAAATGGAACTCATGAATGTGTAGTCGTAAGTTTTGTTTGAAACACTTCTCAGCACACAGAGATACTGAATTTTCGGACTTTGTCCATCGTCCGGATTCTAAATAACTAAAAACAACACAATGTTTCGGAAATTAAATCTGTTTCCTTCCTCAGGTGAGGGAAGACATCTACTCTGTTGGGTCCCTTAGAGAGAGCTAGCCTCAGTCACTGGTCCAGTATCTCTGTGTGTCATACACCATCGTCAGAACCCTATAGTATCTACTTCTTAGCACGTACATAATGAAACCTAAAGGGAATTTGTTGGAGTTCTCTGCAATAGAAATTGGGACTGCCTGTAGAGTACTGTGCCAACCATTGTGTAACTCCGCCATTAATCGATTTGTTGGATATATGGCTCTCACAGCGGTGACTGTAAAGAGTTCTGTCTTCTGGAATACAACCCCATATAGTCCGGTTAAAGTTGACCGACGTTTCGGGGGAACATATCTTCTTCATCTTCAGGATCGAAGTACAAACCAAAGAAGAAACTTACAAGAAGAGGCAGTAAGCAGAGCTCTGCTTTAATTGTTTGGTCTTCTTTCTTGGTATAATCTTTGGCCCTGAAAATGGAGATGATATATTCGGCCGAAACGTTTCACCAGTCTACACGACTTTATACTGGAATTCTTCAGCAAATGATTTGTATCTGTAATGAAGAAATTTGAAGATGGGTAAGGAATGAAAATTCCGAGGTTTTCCGCGGCTCTGATGTGACGCTGTGTATTTTGGTATATGTTACTCATGTTTCGGAGGAACTTTCTGCTTACATCTTCAGAAAATGTTTGTCTCCTGATCTGTCTTCATCCCCTGTGCTTTCATTTTTCTTTCCATTCAGTCTGACTATGAAGCAGGTGATCTAGGTCCACTGTGTACCTACTCCATCTTTCCCAACCTCCCTACAACATCCCTTGATATCTCTGAGTCATTATTTAACGCGTTGACACATATCCAACATTACAACACCCGCAGCCAAAAAGGGAACACACATCACGAGACACGATATACACGGAGTATAAGAGGAACGACTTCCATAGTGGAGGAACCATGCGCGGGTTTGAATTGGGACATATAAGATGAATATCTTAACAAGATTTTAGTGTATAAAAATTTATTATAATTGACGAATATTTTAAAATATTTTTTAAATAATTTTATAATGACATAATGGCAAGCAATGCAATAGATTAACGTAAATGTAGCACCTGATGATGGCACTATGTTGCCGAAACATGTTGTGAAATAACAGGTGAAATTGAGTGCACTACAAGACGGACACGGCATACATATCGTGGACGAAAATCAGTGCAACAGGACGCTAAAATACAACATTATGAATAGCATTTTTAAATTTGTACGATTAATAGTGTTATATCCATTTTATGATTGCAGTTAAATGGTAGTTTTTGATTTGCCTGATGATGGCCGTTAGTGGCTGAAACATGTAGCAAAGCCAGAGCTGAACGCTGACTTTGATGTTTACTATTTGCCGTGTTTTGACGGTTCATTAAAGAGTTGTAGTCCTTACGAGAGCCTCAGTCATTTTCACAGCTCTCCTTATTCACATGTTTTCCTCTTAGGGTTCCTGTCCAACGTTTACATCTTCCTTTCCGTGTTACTTTTTACATTTTCGATTTATTCTTATTCTCTGAAAATAGTGGCACCATGTTCCTCAGAAACTTCAGTAGACATCAACCAAATTACATTTGTCGCGTCCCAGAAGACAATTATCTTCGTGAAAAGAGAATTGAAATCTCAAACAATGAAATAGATGAAATTCTTGGTAGTCAGAACTGAGATCTTTCGGTTCATTGTTATGATTTATGGAACTGAAACTCTGAAGATTATACTCGTACTGGCGTAAAAGACAAAATAAATTCGCATGGACTTCTGTTTCTTTAGCCAGACGAACTGAGTGGGCCAGGTACAGAATGTCCGAATGAAAGGTATCGAAAATAAAATCATTATATCTCAGAAAGTATTTATTATACACATTAATGGGTTACACCATTACAAAGAGAAACTATCGAAGGTTTTTTTTTCCTGCGTATATAACTTTCTCAATAAATTTAAATGTGGGCTTCCTTGGTGGTACGACAAATATTCAGACTTGAAGCATGTTTGGTGTTACCGTAACCACAGCGTCTCTTATGCGGGCTTTAACCCGGCGGAGGTCGTTGAATTTTTAAGGGCAGAAAAATTCAGGGAACAAGTCCTCCGGGAGGGACTTTAAGCCGTGGGTCCCGTGTCGTATATTTACGGAACGTAAAAGATCCTCATGTCTCTAGGAGACCTCTGAGCTAAAATTAGGTAAAAAGTTTCCCGCCCAAGTAGTTTCCAATGCCTCCGGTAGATGGGGAAGCATAGGGTACCGCAGCCAGCCTCGCTGGCTGAACGGCTCTGATAGCGAGCACCAGTACCGGCAGGGTATGGAGACTGGTAGAATATCAAGGGGCGATGTACAATAGACTATTAGTCGCGGTGCATGGGGAAACCCACCTCCTCCAATAATAATAATAATAATAATAATAATATGCGGGCTTTCAGGTGTTGAAGGTCGTTGATCTTAACCTGGTAGACAATGTTCTTCACATAACCCCACAAGAAAAAATCCACTGGAGTCAAATCTGGCGACCTAGGAGGCCAAGCGATTAGTCCACGTCTGCCAGTTCATATCCCAGCCATCTCTCTGTCCAGGTGATTCCTAACATGGTGGCAAAAATGTGGCGGCGTATGCGCGTAAGCCGGGTATGGAAAAAAAACTTTCAGAGTTTTCTTTCGGATGACATAAACCGGATACATGTATGGCAATTAGTATCCGAGATATAATTTTTTTTATTTTGGATAAATTTCCTGCGGACACCCTGTATTATATCGATAGTAGACCCGGCGATTCTTCGCATCTGGCTTCTCAACTCAGTACGTCATTGAGGGCGACGCCATCTTGTCGGCCAGCTTCACGGTTGATTGGTGACTGATGGAGCGTTCACTATACAATTGTTGTTGTGTGAGCCCACCGCATTACTGTAGCACAGTAAAAAGAAGACCAGCTCATCCGATATGCACGTGAAAGGCAACTCTCCTGATAACAGATCGTCTCTTATCAGTGGTTACTTCTCCTAACTCATATCCTGAAAGGCCAGTGTTCGAAATTATGTATTTTGTTTTGTTATGTAGTTTTTTTATGTTCCTACAGGAAAATCTTTGTAACGTAAGTCCCCGACTTACGCGGTTTTCAGTTACACGAATTTTGTTTAAACGGTTGAAGTAATTCAAGGATATAAAGGTAAAATGGTTCCTGTGCTTAACTAATTAAACATTACGCCATGAAGGCGTATTGGTGAGGGGGTGTATAGATCCACGTTTTCTTGAACTCGGCAGTAGTTGGAGGTGAGTGGACAGGTTCACGCCTCGGCCGTTTTACCTCCGGGTAAAGAATGCCCGATATCCATTGGATAGGAGGTTGGATGGACCCAAGAGCCAGTCTGGACATGGAGAAGAGAAATTTTTTTATCATACATACCGGGACTCGAACTCCGACCAATCGGTCGTCCAGCCCGTAGCCAGTCACTATACCGACTGAGCTATCCCGGCTCGATATACAGAGTTTATATACTGCTATGCCCTTTTGGTTTAATAAAGCGAGATTTGAAATCCCGGGGCTCAAAGGCACCCCGTCGAACAGTCGCAACCAAGAAAGTTGGTAATCTAACAAAATCTTTCACAAGAGGCGCCAAGTCTCACATGAAAACGCAGAGCCAGCAGTTGCAACAGGTATAGTAATCATTAAAGTTTATCGAGAGTATAAGGAAATGCTGACTTGCAGGAGTTTTCTATTATACCGTTTAAGTCAGTGACTATAAGCAATCGATTACCACAAACTTACCACTTGCTAGAGGAGTTTATGGCCAATAGCCTACCATCGTCTTAAGTACCGCGCAGCATAAGGCGACCCACGTCTAGAGGGTCCGCTCTTCTACGAACAAAGGAAGTGAATTGACGTCGAATTGCTGGCGACCAGAGAGATGCTTGTAGGGTCCCGGCATGAGGCTAGATAGATACGAAATCATGTAACTTAGCTCAACCCCAAACGAGTATGTAGACAGTGTAAATAAATGTAGACCACCCACTGTTACAATTTATTTCCTAGAACCCCCAGCCAGCGCAGAACGGGAAGCGCTACTGATAGCAGACAAGATTCAACCACGAACCCTGAACCACCTTCTCGAAGGACCCCCCCCCC